GAAAGTTGCATAGTCTGAGATCTGTTGACATTTCCTCTGGCCCAGGTATCATGGCCTTAAACTGCGGGCATAACGAGCCTTTGTATATTTATTGTAAAGAAGAAAAAAAATCTTGTGTATCTACTGCAGATATATTCCGAATTCTCAATTTTGTTCTTATTGCTCCATGTTTTATTAAGAATGACAAGCATGTCTTTTTAACATGCAACTGAGCCGTGTGTTTTATTTTGATGTCTGTACTTTTTTGTGCGGGGGGGGGGCATTGCTGTGTCTTTGCAGGGGTAACGTGTCTGTTAAAGTGATATTAAATCTTCAGATTTTTTTTTTCTTTTTATGAACATCAGGCCCACACTTGCATAAATGTACTATTCTTTTTTTTCTCGTTCAGTTTTTGTATTTCCTTGTTCTCTAAACGATTATTTGGTTACAGCCCTACTAATCGATAATAACCAATGAATGGGAATTGTCATTACCGATTAGTTGGTGTGGACCCCCTAGTTCTCTGCTTTGCGCTGAGAGCCGTTGTTTCATTGGGTCTGCTCCCAGCGGGGATCGGAACGGACACAGACCCCCGCAGCCATGCCCACCAGCAAGGAGAGCTCCCCTAAACCGCCCCTTCGCCCACATCAGCTCGTGTCCCCTTTGATCCCCGCTGCTCTCCCTTGCCTTTAACGGCTGAGGCAGTTGGGATCGGAGGGGACACAGACCCCTGCAGCCATGCCCACCAGCGAGGAGAGCTCCCCCAAACCGCCCCTTCGCCTGCATCAGCTCCGCAGCTCTCTCCTTACCGCTGGGAGCCTGTTGCATGCTGTCTCCCCTTTTGATCCCCGCTGTTCTCCCTTACCTTTTAATGGCAGAGGCAGCGGGGATCGGAGGGGACACAGACCCCTGCAGCCATGCCCACCAGTGAGGAGAGCTCCCCCCAAACCCTCCTTTTACCCGCATCTCTCTCACTGCTGGGAACATGCTGCGGTCTGTGTCCCCTTTGATCCCCGCGGCTTTCCCTCACCTCTAACAGCAGAGGCGGCAGGGATAGGAGGGGACACAGCTGATCCACCTGCCGGCGCCCAGCGGGGAGAGAGCTGCGGGACGATTATGTGAAATATTTGCTGATCGTTCCCTGCAATATTAACATCGCAGTGATCAGGACTGATCAATACGATTGTAAATCGTAAAAAAAAAAAAACTGTTTCCCCTATATTAAATGATAAAACATTTGTTACCCAATTTGATAAAATATAAAAGTCGGGGTCACGTCGGGTAAAAAGACACCAAACATGTCAAGCCTTAAAATTGCGTGCGCGCATGAAACCTCAAAAAAACGATAATACCCAAAATTGGCCACAGGCGACGATTTTACCGCTCATCAGTTTAGTGTTATCAGTGATTGATGGCCCTAAAATGATTGCTCTCGCTGCGGCGATATGTAGCGTGTGTAGCGTAGCAAGGAGCTGATCTCTCTTCCTCCTGACGCCCTCCCGGGCTGCAGATGGGGCAGCGGATCCCGGGATTGAAGGTGAGGGGTCAGGACGGCAGCAGACGGGGGGACTGAAAAATCGAGCACATATAGACGATTGGCAGGCTATAGAGCCGCCGATCGTCTATATGTGAAACACACGGTAACGGGTGTTTGCATTGCACGGGTCTTTTCTGCCCGTGCCCGCTAGAGCAGAAAAAAAATGCCGTCTGGAGACGGCAACCCCCCAATGCAGTAGCGGACGGCAACTGGTTAATCTCAATAGCTTCATACAGAGCTAACATGGTCTGGTTATCGCTAAACATTGCACTGACCTATGGTAGATACAACTGGGTTGGATTGTGAGACCGTTTAAACATCAGTCTGCTGTAAACTATAAAAACACATTGCTGGGTTATAAAAAAAAGGAAGTCGCTCACTCTTCTATTTCGTTAGCTTTGATTACGGCACGGACTCACATTGTTTCCATAAGCTTATACAAGGTCACAACATTTATTTCCATCCAGAGTTGCATTAATTTGTCACCAAGATCTTGATGATGGGAGAGTCTGAGCACTGCGTAAAGTCTTCTCAGGCACATTCCAAAGATTCTCAGTGGGGTTAAGGTCTGTACTCTGGTGGCCAATCCATGTGTGACAATGACGTCTCGTGCTCCCTGAACCTGATGAATCCTGGTCATTCAGTATATTCAGGTAGGCAGCTGCCTTAACATTGCTGAACCCACACCTGTCCAACCAAAGCAACCCCAAATCATAACACTGCCCAAAATCCAGGTGGTGACCTTGTTTGGCCAGGCAGTGTATATTCCTGGGTGGAGTGATGCAGCTCCCTTTTAAGTAGAGAAAAGGTTTAAGATCAGGTGAATGCAAACTTGGGCCTACCAGCTGTGAAGAGCATTGCAAGACTGACAGCATCAGGCATGACTTCCAAAGGCAGACGCCACAGTTGGAGGACCGAAGTTTGGCTGCCATTATATGTATGTACATGAGGGAAGCCATCTTTGTTTATTGCATATGCAGGCTCTGCTTCTTGCTTTCGCATGGTTGTGCTTTACTGCTCTTCGTCTACGAGTCGGCTGTCACTGGGGAAAAAAAAAAATGCACCCCCTGTGTGGCTGAAATCTTTCTCAGTGTTGGATCTTAGCAAGAAAGACCATCATTGCATTTAGGCACCGAGAGCTGTCTCAAGGCCACGCGGGAAGTTTTAGAATTCTTAGACTGTAGGCTGATGATCTTAAGACTTCCTGTGTCCCTCAGTGGATGAGAAAGCTTTCTTTTAGACTGCAGAAAACAATTGAAAAGGTGAACATGTAAAATGTAGTCGCATCATACGGTCTTTGCCTTTTTTTCAGAGAGCAGGAGCTGAGGTAATGTAAGTCCAGGATGCATGTGCTGAAGAAAAGACATTGGCCAGATGAAGGATTTGAGAAGAGGGGAGCTTGTCTCTTGTATCTCTGGAGGGGGTAAGTTTTCCACTACTTGCAGATAGGCCAGCGCATCATGACAGGTGACCCTGAACAACTTTAACTCTGCTTTAAGTAACTTGACGCTTCAGCTGGGGCGCTTGTGTCTTCCTCACCTTCCGCGGTGGCTGAGTAGAAGACCTCTCAAAGGTTCTTCTCTTCCTACAAGCTGAAGCAGCCTGTACTTCTGCTGCCAGCCAGCCAGCGCCAGTCATGTAGGACACGCAATGTTTAGTAAGCACTGCTTCACCCTTCGGGAAGGGAGGGGAGGAGGTTTTAATGAAGGCTTCTGCCCTGCTTTGAAGCAGATTTTGAGCTAAGGGCCTAAAAAGCATGGGAAAAGCCCTACTTGCTTCTTGGGCAGGTCGGTGTTTAGAAGAACATTAGAGAAAGGTTCCAGACGTCACCGAGCGATATTTGCGATATGGCTCACAGATGGACCGTTGGTGAAATCCTTTAATAAATCCCCCACCTACCAGAGTGCGACCCGCCTGAGATATTTATTTTCCTCCAACAAGGTCCTGACTGGCTCCTCTTTATTCTACACATAGACACCATGGCCCTGTTCATTGCTATGAGTAAGATGTGCTCATGGTAGCCTCCAGCAGCCCCTCAGGGTACCGGTCACCCATAGGGAAGGGGCCGGCAGCTCCTCAGGGTACCGGTCACCCATAGGGAAAGGGACAGCAGCCCCTCAGAGTACCGGTCACTCATAGGGAAAGGGACAGCAGCCCATCAGGGTACCGGTCACCCATAGGGAAAGGGAAAGCAGCCCCTCAGAGTACCGGTCACCCATAGGGAAAGGGACAGCAGCCCCTCAGAGTACCGGTCACTCATAGGGAAAGGGACAGCAGCCCATCAGGGTACCGGTCACCCATAGGGAATGGGACAGCGGCCCCTCAGAGTACCGGTCACCCATAGGGAATGGGACAGCAGCCCCTCAGGGGACCGGTCACCCATAGGGAATGGGACAGCAGCCCCTCAGGGTATCGGTCACCCATAGGGAATGGGACAGCAGCCCCTCAGGGTACCGGTCACCCATAGGGAATGGGACAGCAGCCCCTCAGGGTACCGGTCACCCATAGGGAAAGAGACAGCAGCCCCTCAGGGTACCGGTCACCCATAGGAAAAGGGACAGCAGCCCCTCAGGGTACCGGTCACCCATAGGGAATGGGACCAAAGCACAGAAGAGCAGTGCAAAATAAAAGTGACCCAAAACCATTAACGTTCCCCTCTTAAATGGCAATTGTTACTTCTGGTTCAAGGTGAGGAGATCTGTCAGGTCAATGCCTGAGTTTTGTTGCTGGCAATCACAAGGGGGCATCATCTGCTTCTGGGGAAGAGCTGATGCCTGACTGCTTCTTTCCAGCCCCTGAAGAAGGACGGCACCACCAATTTTGTACAGGGTGCCATACGACCCAACCATGGGCCTGCTTTTTTTTTTTGGTTTGAAACCTATGGATTTTTCGATCCAGTATGCTCACATCTCCCT